AACACCTGCTGTCGCCATATTTCCTTTGCCGGTTGCTGTAGTGTGCGAGAAAATATTCCTGGTTGGAGGAGGGGTTTATGACGCATTCAAAGAGTGTTTGAAAAAAAAAAACTCAGTGAAATAGATGCAGATGGTTTAAAGTCAAGCTCAAGGATCTCTCATCATCATTATGATCCTATGATCCCAGCAGACGCCTCTGATGAACATGTTTTCTTTCTTTTCCTTGTCTTTATGTTTTTAAACACCTTTAAACCTGAACCTGCATGCTGTTTCCATGGTAACACTGCTTCCTTCCTCCTCCAGGGACACGACGGTGCAGACCTTGACCCTGCAGCCCTCCGTGCGGGACGGCATCATTACGTACGAGGACTCGCCTCTGGTCCGTTTGAGAATCCCGTTTATTAAACTTTGCGGTGAACCGCCTGACCTACACAGGCGTGTCTGACCTGACGCTCGTTCACAGGTGAAGGCGGTGAAGCACGGTCACATCCTCGTGATCGACGAGGCCGACAAAGCTCCCACCAACGTCACCTGCATCCTTAAAACGCTGGTGGAGAGCGGCGAGATGATCCTGGCTGACGGGCGGCGGATCGTCTCCGGTGCGTACCCTCACTGCAGACAGACGGCAGCCGGTCCTGATCTCACAGTCTAGAAAAGAGTCTAGAAATGTTTGTTTCCCAATAAAATAAATAAACACATTTATCTCGTATAAAGTTATAAAGCTGCTAATCTTGTTCTGCTAGAGAGAGAAAATCGAACCTCAGACGTCCTGAGATGTTTCTCTACGCAGTCGGAGGCTAACAGAGACCAGAATGCGATCAGTACACTTACGGGATTTGCTCCTGTTCTTCTTTTATTCATTCAAATCTTTCTGTTTGAATCCAGATCCACTCGAAGCCAAGGGGAGGCCCAACATCATCGTGATGCACCCAGACTTCAGGATGCTGGTCCTGGCCAACCGACCGGGCTTTCCCTTCCTGGGGAATGACTTTTTCGGAGCGCTAGGTATCCAGACATTCATAAACCAAGCCGCTATACCACAGGTTCAGTCATAAGGTCCCTCCTTCACTGATGCTAAAGCAAACCTGGCAGTCCATTTACAGTAGCAGCCATTCAAAATGGCCGTTCTCAGTCAAAAGCCAGCCGAATGGCCGCCCACTTCCCTCCAACTCCCAGCAGAATCCCTTCCATCTTCCAGCCACTGGCCTTTTCATAGGCGTGCATAGTTTTTACTCTGACTCCACCCTTTCATTCAATTACAGGGTCTGACCAGGAGATGGCGCTTCTCTTTAGATCTTAATGTCCACAAATCATGACAGAAAGAATATTTTAGTACAAAGATTGATGTTTTAAAAAGTAATTGAAGGAGACAAGCCGAGGAAAATGGGGAAATATCGAATGGCTACTACTGTATGGTTTGGTTAGAAAGGTGGATGTTTGTTATAGAGGAATAAAATTACATTATTCTACTCCTCCTACACCTTTAAATGCCTCCAGATGCTTAAGTAATAAACAGAGCTGCTCATCGGGGGGCAGCCAGAGGCCCAGTGGTCACCCTGGAGGAGCTGCACGCACCCGCAGCTCTGGTGGAAGAAACAGTTCAACACAAACCTGAACTTCATGCAAGAAGAAGCTGTTGTTGAATAAACGGCGATGCAGTGTTTCAGTTTTCTGTTAGGAAACGGTCGTAAAACGGGACAGATGGACCCAGTGTTCAAGGTGAGACAGTCAGTAGGAAAGTTCAAAATGTTTATGAAAATAAACAGACAGAAAGAGAACTGAAGTGGGCTGCTGTGGACCTGCGCACCTGCAGTGACTGTGGAGAAAGGGGGGAGAGGCGCAACCCAGAGTGCCCCCGATGCTGCGGCGCCGCAGAACATGCAGGAAGCCGATCCAGGTCAGGGGAGAACGGATCAGGCAGGAACAGTTCAGGAATCCAGGAGTTCTCCGCTCGATCAGAGCTTCCCATCCAAACAGGAACAGAGGGATCCAGGCTTCCATGAATCCTCAGAGCTTGAAGGTTCAGACGCAGACGGGTTCAGAAGCGTGCCCAGACGGACACGCACAGATGGAGACAGGCGGGCTCAGTGGTAGAGAGGAACATAGACAAGACGTGGTTCCAGTATAAATGCCGAACTTTAAACTGGTCTCCTCCTATGAGCCAGGCTTACGGGAATTTAAACCGACCTCCTGCGCGTTCCGAGCCAAAACCCTGATGGCTCCAGGGAGAAGGACCAGAACCCGGGCTCCCCGCTGCAGCCGCTGTGGTCCGATTATCCTCAGCAGCCAGTGTTTCTGTTGTGTTTTATTTGATTATTTCTGTCATTACACATTTTGAATCCTCCCATTGTCTGACTCGCCTCAAATACTGGGTCCAACTGTCCCCTTTAGGACAGAAACGTTTTATTTCTTAAAGCAGTTAAACATGGAGGCAGCATCAGGCTGAAAAGACGCTTCTCTTCCTCAGAGGGAGACGGAGACCTCAGAGTGGAAGAGATAAACACACCTGGCGCTTTTAGCAGGAAACCGACCCTAAACGCATGGCTGGAGTGGCCTAGTCAAAGTCTGGACCTCAATCTCATTTAGAACATGTACCCAGAATGTTTCCTGCTTTGGACTCTTATATTTCCGGTGTTGGTGGCAGTTTTTATGCCCCCTCCCCCACATGTTGTTCTGTTTGTCCGACTCACCAGCTCCATATTTTTAATATACTTTGGGTTTTTTTGTTTTTCTCCATTTTTCCTTTAAAGAAAATAAATCTAAAAAAAAAAAAAACGTCAATGAAGACGCAATGAAATGAACAAACTGAACGTTTGAACGCAGGTGCTGTATCTGTGTCCTGTTCAGGAGCGCCACGGATCAAAGAACAAATACTTCATTACCTTACTGAAGTAGAAATAATTGACTATTATTGACTATTCTACTCTTTTTCTAAAATAGACTCGTTAGTTTTCTTTCATTTAAGCTCATTTTCATTCTGGCCTGTTGGTATTTAAAAAATATAAAAACCATCCAAATAATTAGTTTCATCCAGACAATTAATTTCTTTATGGTTGACTTCTTAGGTGGTGGAATAAATTTGTGCTGCTGCAGAAATGGTTTTCTTACAAATGAGCGCCTTTTCTTCGACGTCCTCGGCGTGAAATCCAAACCGCTGCCTTATATCGCTCAGCTGAAACACCTGCTGTCGCCATATTTCCTTTTCCTGGAGTAAAAAGTGTTTTTAGACAGTAGGATTTATGCTTCTACCAGAGCAATAAACAAAGTTTTAGGTCCTCTGGTCCTGGTACTGATGTTGAGCTGATTTTTAAAGGATGGGAAGAGGTTTCGGCTTCTGGACGACTCATCGGTTCGTTCTTTGGTCATCACAGTATTAATCTCTTTAAATGTTTCCCTGGTTGTTGGAACCATTTCGTACGTCAGAAGCTTGTTGGATGATGAAAGGTGTAATACGGTGAAGCAGCTGTTAGAACCAGGAGGTTTGATCCTCTGCTGGGAAACCCAGGAATGTTTTTTTTTTAACAGGAGATGCTGTAGATAAAAGGAGGGAACTGTTCTGTGCACCAACAGGTGATATCTTCAGCTGCCACGCCGTGGACAACCCCAAGCCCCAGGCGGAGCTGGCCATGCTCAGACAGTACGGCCCCGACGTCCCAGAAGCCACTCTGCAGAAACTGGTGGCCGCATTCGGAGAGCTGCGGTCCATGGCTGACCAGGGCACCATCACCTACCCCTACTCCACCCGGGAGGTGGTCAACATTGTTAGACACCTGCAGGTATGTAGGTGTCAGACTGTCCGCCTGTAGCCCCTCAGCGCTGGAGGCTTTAATCACTCAGAGAGCCGCTGCTCTGTCAGACCAGCGTACCGCGTTTTACATTACATGAAGAACTACTGAAATTATATTTAGATTACATTTAAAAATATTAATTAATTCCACGGGGCGGAAAAAAGGATTAACAGCCTACTGAGCCTACTGGCGCAACCTGAAGCCATTCTATGGGACTGATAACCGCTAATAACGACCATGCATGCATGTGTGTTACTAAGGGTATGCTGGCCTGACACGGTATGCCAAGCTGACAGAACAACGCCTCCTTTCATGCCTCCTCTGTTCACACTTAGAAAAACCCTTATGCACTAAAAGCATCCAGTTACACAATAAGGTGTGAAGTCAAAGTTTCACACCATCCTGGTGATGGAAGGCTTCCTCTGAAAGGAGGAAGAGATCCTCCATTCTGCAGAGATCCTCCATCCTGCAGAGGTCCTCCTTTCTGCAGAGATCCTCCATTCTGATGCAGCCTATCCTGCGCCCTCTTTTCACCGAAGCTATAAGCAGGGCGACAAGTTGAACCTAAACAAAGGGAAAAAGAAAGATAGCTGATGAGAACAGAGGATTCAAAGAAGAATGGAGCGAATCATTTGCTTTCATTACCAATCAGGAAGGATTGGCTGCATGTTTGCTTTGGAAGGAGAAGCTGTCACATAATAAAAAGAGACATTTAATATATTAAATATGCAGCCGACCGCCGAGCTGGGAGGGAGAGAAAAAGAGAGATTGCAGAACTTCTGGATAAATTAAAGGAGAGCAAAGATAGATTTAAGAAGTAGATTGCATCTCCAAACTCCACTACTCCTGCTAGTTTGGTTGCAAGCAAAGAAAACCGTTCATAGATCCAACAGGTAGCGCTCTGATGCAGGGATGGGAACTGTCTTTCATTTTTTACTAAAGGATCCTCAAAATAAAAATACCAAGGAGCGCTGGTGACGGAGGATGTGGGATTTCAGGGTTAGAGAGCTCTGCTCTGATGGA